ATTATTGAATATATTTGCGAAGAATATTATTATATTATGATCGATAAGAACTGTACGACTCTGACGTTACGTACTAAATTCTAAGGAAGTGAAGGATAACTACTTCTACTATTAAATTTACATACTATTTTTATCAAGAATGTTTGACTTATCAAATTTATCTCAACTGGATGATGTTAATATAATGAAAGCAGTAATATTAATCATTTAGCTTATTATTGGGAAAAATAAAGTCGCTGGCCAATAGAATCGCAAGACTGATACTATAGTGTGTTAAATCTCAACATGAAACAACTCATGCCAGTAAAATAACTATTATCATTATCGGCACTCTCCATAAAACGAGCCATCAAAGTCCAACAACATTAAAAATAAAATAGTCACTACGTTGCCTGCGAGCTCTTTTGGTATCGATCACCGAGATTCCGCGTCGTAAATACATCGCGGGAAACAAACAAAAGTTCGTGGAAATTTTATGTGCAGACGAGGGCAAAGGTGGAAAGGGTATGGTCGAGGGAAGATGGAAAGAGTGCGGAGGTCTAACTCCTCGTATCCATTTACAAGTTTTAAATCGTTCCGCCGGCGTGCCTTTTGAAAGAAACCTTTTACCTTTATTCTCAATGCACGATAAAATTCTGAAACGCGTTCGCCAGCCGCCGCGCGGCTTTTAAACGTTAACATGCGCTCGCTCGGCACAATGGCGGGGTCGCATTATACTCGAGAATCGGAAGGAGAACAAGCAGTATAGGAACAAGGAGTCGAAGGGGATGGCGGCGAAGGGGTAAAGAAGAGTGTTATACCGCCAAGTAGAAGGAAGACGATAGTGAGAACAGAGAACTGTTGTTCTTTCCTTCGTGTGCGTTCAATTTCTTTGTGCAAGACGGAGTAGAGTTACATAACAAAAATCTTGTATCCGTATGATGTTCCTTATTGATGTTCCCGTTTCATTCCACTGTACATATCTATTGTGTAATACGATAAATAAATATCTTTGTGCTGATATAAGCTCTTCAAATGTTAATCTTAATTCGTTAATTCTAGCTCATCAACACTCTTTTTTTGCTCATGCGGATGCCACTCAGGATCTGTGAAATCTTGTTGAATATTTTGATGTATAATTTCAATGGAAATGTTATTAATTTCGTCAATAGTTGTTTTTCATATAATTTTGAATAATATAGAATAGAAATATCATCCAAAGCTGAATTTTATTAATTACATAAAGTAATTGTTTAAAAAAAACATGTTCCTATAATTTATGAAATGTACATGTTTCCTAGACCCTTGAGTTAAGATTAAATATCTTTTTTTCTATAATTAATTTTATTGTCATTAATTTTATTACATTCTTATAATAGTATCTACTGTATAATAAAATATACATTTTTTTGAAATTGAACGAAGTTTAAATAATAGTATATATTTTATCTACATCAGCTATCAATATAAATGCTGTAATTATTATTAATTACAATAAATCAAATAATAATTTGATATCACTCTATCTATAATACTATCTATAATGAGAAGTTCACCAACTTTTTATTTGGATCCAATATAATAAATTTAAGTGACCATTCTCTTTGTAATCGGATCGTAAATAGTTTTTTTCGCTATAACTTCACGACTTTTATAAAACCATAAAATATTCCGATTTGCATCCTCGTAAGAAGGATATGCCATAATTTCGCGACGAAGAAACTGCGACGATAATTCCACACCGTTAAAGAACTTATAGGTCATTTAAAGAACTCTCGGAGGCCAAAAGGATGGACCACGAGCACAAAATGAAAGATATCTCGAGGTGCTTTTTTTATTAAAATGGGCACATCTGGCGATGAAAAGTGATCGGTCAGCTGAGCACGCATTTTTTCCTCGCCTCATTCAACTCTGCGAGGCCGACCGATCGACGAAAACGGTTACATCCCTTTGTACGTTGGCTACGGCACTAAAATGGAGCTTTGCGGGGTGACTATGGTCGCCTAACCACGATAGATAAATTTCCTTATGAAAATTCGGTCGAGAGAGGAACGTCTCACCACTCACAATTTATTGGGTCTTCCGCGGATCGCTGACTATGCTAGCACATTCATTCTATGTTCCGGTCATCCCTCGTCGTTCTCGACGCTATAAAGGGAACTTGAAGATAATAGCCTTGAAGTGTTCTATCTTCGAGATGATTAAAAAGTACAAAACTTTATCTTATTAAAGATTTTGGAATTTGTTTATTGAGGAAATATATCAAAAATAATATTATTTTCTTCATAATAATTAAATATTTTTACGTTTTCTTGAGGATATTTGGCTCTATAATATTAGCTAAAAATATCAATTAAATAATTAGCCAAAATTTAAACTAATATCAACTAATATCATCCAAAAAAATGTTGATATTAACTCATATATCCTAAAACAACTGCAAAAAGAAATGTGTGACTACATTTTCCTAGTTTCAATAACTTTTAAGCAAATAAGTGGATCCAAATAAACTTTTGCATGAATATTTATTATTGTTTAGTCAATATATGTTTAAAATTTTATTTAAATCTTAATGTTACTTCCTCATTAAATTTGTAAATAAGTATTACAAAATTCAATTTTATATAAGAACAAAGACTGACAAAAAATTAAATAATGTTTAAACTAATAATTGTTTTCAAATTTTACATATATACATACATATTCAGACATAATATTGGACGGATTTTATACAGATTTTTAGTAATACTGAAGAGCAATCTATGAATTTTTTATATTTTTGATAAAGTTTTAAGATGTATGCATCCCTAAAGGGAGATTATTTAATACCTACATGGTCGAAAAGACGAACGCTATCGAGGAATGTCAACGGTAGTCGTCGCCGCGCTGCGCTCACGAGAAGAGAATCGTCAAAGTAATGAGAGGAGGGGAGGCAAGGTAGGGTAGTTAAATGTTACCGGTGTCAGGACATGGCCTTTGTGTTAGGGGAGTGCTTGGGGAGTGCCGTGGAGTTAGCTAGACTGGCAGAGTACTATAAATTACATAAATGAAGTAAGCCCCTTCCGCGCTCAAACGGACGTCTTGCCAAGTTTATAACTTAATCACTCGTGCTATACCCGTAGCAAGAGGAGGAGCTTAGGTGGATGAGAAGGATACGAGACGGAACGAAACGGTTGAGATGAGAGTGGGTATGCCGGATAGCGTAGAAGATGTAAGAGAGAAAGAATCCGGCAGAGAACAAGCCGAACGATTAATGATGTCAGCGTTGAATAATTGAATGTGTCACGCACATATTGTCTCAACGTTGGCAAGTTTTCTTCCCGAAATAACGGCCTGATCGTTTTATTTCGCAGTTAAGCGTACGATATCTATCGTAAATATTATTTCCTCGATCGATCGCACATTCTAATTAAATTCTTACCTTAAATAAATTTGAATATTCTAATTTTCTGAATAATCTTTATCATTTTGTGTTGTAAAGAAAGTATAAAATATGTTTGTTAGTTTAATATCCTCAAAAATTATTGTATTTAAAACGAGATAAATATATATTCAGAAGATAAGTATTTTGAAAAAAGAGAAAGCGAAGATCTTGAATGCAAAAAGTACGAACAACGCGGACAAACTTATTATTCTTTTTTCTGCAGCTCTCCCATCTGCTAAGCTTACTATTTCCTATAGTGAATTCGATCAATTGCATTAAAATATATTAAATAATTGCAGTATATATATTAAAAACTACTATAAAATTAGCATATTTATAAAAATAAACGCATATAAATATTTTAAACAAATATTTGTCTAACTAATGTCACATTTAACAGAATATATTATATTTTTTTTATTGTTAAAATTGATTATATTGTGCCACTGCATTTAGATATTTTATTATAAAGCAACCTTTAACATATACTAATTCAGTGCCATGTACGAATAATGGAATTCATTACTGCTTCTTATAATATTAGACTCACTATTTTTTGAACATATAAGAGAGAGTCATACGTATCATTAAACGTCTAAATCTTTTATCGATATCAATTTCGACACTATTAGAAGAGATAAATTACATAAAAATAAATAATTTTTGCAGTCTTTGACCGTACTATACGCTAACTTCCTCACAGAGCCGGAGTCGCGAGACTAGAATCGCGAATGGTCAGTTTACATTCCTACCGGTTGACCACCGGATGCATTTAATTACGGTCACCTAACGCAGCTTCGGCAACTGCTTTCGGTACGGAAGCACTAAATCGTGGTTATCTTAAGCTACAACGTCGTCCGCTGGATTCGTATAACTCGCGCTTGCCGGATATCTCGAGGCTGAATTACTAGCTAGGAGAGAAGCGCCGGCGCGGGCGCGTGGAAAGGGCGAGATTAAAATCGCCCGGAGAGCAATGCAAAGTTTTTAATAACCCTTGATGCTTGATTAAGTTACGGCTCTCTTCACTGGCTCGCTGTCTCTCCTTCCCCGCTGTTCGTCTTTGGCTGAAATAAATTTCGCGGAGATTTCGCTTACAGACCGCGTTTTCGTGCGGTACGAGGGAAGAAGCGAGACTCGTTTACTCCGTCAGCTAAATTAATGGAAATCCGGGATGGTTTCTTATCCCCGCGAATATGCAGCAAAATCGGAGAGCTTTCGTATCTCTACTACTACCGATTACTCTAATTCAAAATTACGTAGACTCTTTTTTTATTATCATTAATGCGGATTAATTTGATTAAACGTCAAATATCATTATATTTATAATAAATAACATAATTCTCAACTTTATCGTTTTATCATCTAATGTGATAGCATACGATCTATTTTTTATATGAATAACAAATATAATTAAAATCATTGCAATTTGTTTTATTAAAACTGCAATATTGGAAAATGTGAGAAATTATAAAATTAAATTCGGAAGTAAAATAATATCAAATCTGTATCATGTATGTATATCGCTACAGTTGTTTGTCATTTCAATTTACCATATTAAATATAAAAATTTAACAAGAGTCTATGTATTTTCTTTCAGGCTTTGGATTTGTCACGTTTCAAAGCGAGGATGTCGTCGACAAAGTCTGCGAGATCCATTTCCACGAAATTAACAACAAAATGGTGAGTAGCCAGTCTGAAGTCTACTTGTAGAACAAACCCCTTCTTCTAAAGGATATTTTCCATTTACTTTATATAACCTCAGAGGTCGCGTCAAAAGGTATTTGCCTTCTGTTCCCTGTCTGTAATGTTGAGCAAAATTAATTTTCTGTATAATCGAGAAGGTCTATCTTTGTTAGTTATATTTGACACGCATGTGGAATGTACATGCAGGAGAAATCGTAAACGAAAAAGGGAAGAACTGTACACAGTTCCTCTAGTAAGAGAAATCTTTGTTTACTTTCCGCTACAACGAAAAGCTCTTTCACGACGGTCAAGTATTTTCTTGATGCCTTGTATCGATAATCCTGAAGTAAGCTTGCTGCGCTGATCCAGTCGATATTTTCTTTAACTCTACTCTCTGTAGTTAATTATTTCTTTACGAAATTTTGAGCAAAAAATCAATTTTACGATTAGTACTTTTATCTACTTAATAATTAACAGAAATAGTATAAGCAACAAATGATAATAATAGTGTTTTTAATTTAATAATAGTCTTTTAACTTCTTGAGAAAGGATTCGTACGTTATCTCCCATACAGCATAGAAGTTTGTATTGTTGCTGCATTGTAATGTTGTTGCAATATTGCTGGAGTGATTTGTGCTGTATGGGCTGCTACAACGATGCATAATCAAGATTTCGACAGATTTCTAATAGATGATTGATAGTGAATTGTCTTTCTTATATCGTCCCTCTTTCTTTTATCTGTTCTATCTAAAATTTCAAGGTCGAATGCAAGAAGGCACAGCCAAAGGAAGTGATGCTTCCAGCGAATCTGGCGAAGACGCGAGCGGCCAGCAGAGGCGCATACGGTGAGTTGGTGATGGTCGCGACACCCACCCCCACCACCTATCGCTACGCGCCGTATCCCTTGCCGACGGCGGCCGCTGCCGCTGCACATGCAGCCGCGGCAGCCACCGCC